AGCTTCCATCGATGAATTTTAAAATGAAGATCAACAGGGAATACACAAGGGTTATGATCATCTGGTCAGTTTTATAAAGACTGCCATTCGAACGTCAAGCCGAACGGGAAAATATATTCGAACACTGTGCATCCGCCCTTCAACGAGGTAGCTAATAGCTAGAAGAGCCCAGTTGAAGGTAGTAGAGTATATGGGCAACATGTACATTACATTGTGTCAAGAGATACAGAGGAAATTGAGGGAAGAACACGAGTAACGGATAGGAAGGAATATTTGAAGGCTGTCGAACAGGATATTCGCCTAAAACAGAATATTCCGCTGAGTGCATTGAAAGATAACGGGGGAGCAAGAAATAGCAATTCGAAATCTGATGAACGCAATCTGTACACATTTCTGATAAACTTTGTACTCTTCCAGAGTAGGCGTGAATCGGAATTTAACACACCTTGTGCCAGGAAACGTTCCCAAAGTCACGTGAAACAAAATTGAGTAGGTGATCAAAAATATGAAAAATGGCAAATATCTAGGCAATGATGATATGAGACCAAAACATCTTAAACCATGAAAAATAATCCTATTTAAAGCTCTTGCAAGACAGTTAGGAACAGTTCTTCACATCAAGACCTCAAGTACAATCGATCAGTTACACTGTCTTTCCACAAAACTACCAAACTTCCATCCGTATCGTCCAGAATCTAATTCGAAAAGAGCTTGGAGTGATTACAAATCAGGATCAAGGCGGTTTTCTCATGGAGTTTTCTACCATCGACGATGCATCTGTGAATCTGCATTGGTCCCAACAGGCGACGGAGAAACCGCTTGCAAAGTTTCCACTTAGTTTTTATAACATGGGTGATTAATGGATTGAAACCTCATGTTGTTTGCAATTTTCGTCCTCTTGTCCGCGGAGGAAAATGTTTGCCAATTGATTTTCTGGTTGCTTCTATGGTCAGGTCTTTGCATAGCGCTCCATCGTTTACAGCTGAGAGTTGCAACAACTACGTGATGGTCGGTTGACAGCTTTGCTCCTTCTCAACTCGAACATTCATTACAACAGAGTGTCGAAGGTCAAACGATATGATTAGCAAATCGATCATCGACGTCTGCCACAAGCCCTCCTATACCAGGTACACCGCTGCATGTTTCGATGCTCGAAGAAGGTTGTTGCTGTCATAGTCATCTGGGACATCAGGGTCAAGGACTGAGTACCAACATTAATAGTCCAGGTTTGACGCTTAGGTTCTTCAGAATGACTTAGGCGGTGGTGGTTGCTGAGGCAGAGGTCATGTTCCTCGTCGCAAGCAAGTCCGCCTCTAGTAGCTACTTTAGGGTGCG